AGCTGGCAGCTGTAGGGACTGGGGATGGGGCGGCGTGTTGAGATGGTTACCAGCTCACCGGGGCATGAAGCCACCAGCATCGTGGGGTTTGCGGCTCTCAGGGTGGGGGGCAAGTGGGTATGGGGGCAGTGGGTGTTGGAGGGGGTCCTGCTGCAGGGAGCAGGTTGGAGGGGGGGGGTCATCACCCGTTGCAGGTCCCCCCCCCCGTGCACGGCCCCCTCGGGGACACTTGACTCTCCCTTATGGAAATGCTGAGACCCGATCTCCGACTGGGACGGGCGCAGGTGACAATGCTGACCCGCGGGTGTCCACTTTCTGCCCGTCCCCTGGCCGGCTGCCACCGCAGCCTCCCGCATGCCACCTGCCCCGCGTCGCCTCTGCGCATGGCCGTGGGCAGCAGCCCCCCGCCCCACGGTTCAGCCCCCACCACACTCCGTTTCCATCATCTTCCTTGTAGGTGCCACCCTACCCGGGGTTCTCCATCACCCACCCCTTGCAGCCCCCGCGGGGGTTCAGGTGAACCGCCGAGTGTTGTGCCAGGAGCGGCACAGCCGCCTCCGCCTGTTCCCGCCTGCCCACAGCGAGCGGGACTGGAGCTTGCCAGGAACAGCCTTTCCTGGGATGGTCCCCAGGGACGCCTTGGTGTCCCCATGTCCCCATTTCCAGCGCTGCTGCTCTTCCCTGACATGCGACACTCTTGTCGGGGGTCTTATTTCAGGGCTGTGGGATGCTTGCTCGCATCCTTGCCATCACTGGCTGTGGACTGCATGGTTTGGAGTCACAGGTGGTGGTTTTGGGGTGGTGGTGGGGACTGGGTGGGATGCCGGAGGGGCTTGGCACAACCTTGCTGTGATGGAGCTGGGCTGGGTTGCTCCATGCAGATGCAGTCGCTGTGCAGCCTGCCCATCGTGCGGTACCAGGAGCCGCAGGAGGAGGACGGGCTAGAGGACATGACCCAGCTGGAGTGAGTGTCCCCTTCCCCTTCTCTACCTGTGGTGACACGGCACGGCGGGGACCAACGGGGCTGCAACCCCCTCCATTCACCCCATGGTCCCTGCTGCTCCCCACCCCATCCCATCCCAACACAGGGTCCACTCCAGCCTCCCGGGCCTGGGGATGCTGGGGACATGTTGAGGGACAGCAGACACCTCCTATCTCCCCACCACCCCCTAACACACCTTCTGCTCCACACCAGGGACCTCCAGGAGGCCGCAGTGCTGAGCAACATCCGGACACGGTTTGAGCGGCAGCTCATCTACGTAAGCTTAGGGGCGCATGGCGTCCCCCAAAGACCCCGGGTGTGGGGTTTTCATGGGGGGTCATCGCTCTCTGAGCGCTCACAGCCCCGAACTTCACTCTCCTGCAGACCTACATCGGCAGCATCCTGGTGTCGGTGAACCCATACCGACTCTACAACATCTATGGGACAGAGCAGGTGCTGCAGTATGAAGGCAGAGCACTGGGCGAGAACCCACCGTGAGTACTGGGGTGTCCCCAAACATCCTGTGGGGACAGGGGCACCCTTACCCGCTGTCACCCACCCCTAGGTCCTACAGCAGCCCCTGGGCTGGGTGGTCCCAGGGCTCTAAGGACCCTCGGTCACGGGGTGCTGAAGCAGATGTGTCCATGCGTGGGGATGCTCAGGGTGCAGCGGGGGTCCCCATGTTGGGGCACTGTGGCACTGCACCCCTCCACCTCTGCTCCCCCCTCTCCCTCCAGGCACCTCTTTGCCATCGCGAACGTCGCCTACTCCAAAGTGATGGATGCCAAACACAACCAGTGTATCGTCATCAGGTGGGACCCGGCTGTTCCCCAGCACGGCTGCCCGTCGGGATGACCCCTAATTAGCGCCGCTATAATTGCTAGCTGCAGGATGATGCCACCTGCCTCGCCTGGTCCCACGGCTGATGGGTGTCACTGGGGATGGGGTGCTGGGTGGGTTTTGGGTGGGCACACCCCTCCAGCCCCCTGCTCAGCTGGTGATGGCCCCAGCCGTGCCCTCTCTCTGTGTTTCAGTGGGGAGAGCGGCTCCGGGGGGCCGGAAGCCCCCAAGCTGATCCTGCGCTACCTGGCAGCCGTCAGCCAGAAACGCAGCACTGCCCCGCAGGTAGGGTGCTGCCCTGGGGACATCCCTGTACCCTTGTCCCACCTCCCCGTGTCCTCCTCCACCCTCTGCTCACGGCTCTGCTTATCCCCATGCTTCCACCCGGACCACGGCAGATAGAGGTACCGGGGGGGGACACATGGGCTGGGACCGTTCAAGGGGACTGAACATCGTGGTGGCATCTTTGCCATGTCACCCTAGTGGCAGGGGGACGGCAGGGATGGACAGCAGGAGCTCGGTGCATGCACGTGCATGGGGTTTTTGTGCTCTCCTGCATCCTTGTGCAGCCCAGCTGTGGTACATGCCGTGAATTTTGGCACCCAGAGGTGTCTGCACGGGGCAGGAGGTGGCAGGGAGGGTGGGAGGGTGACAAAGAGGTGTCCCCTAGACATGGGGACAGCCTGTGGCATGTTGAGGTGCCTGGGCTGACCCTGTGGCTCTCCCCATGGCCGCGGCAGATCCTGGAGGCGACCCCCTTGCTGGAATCCTTCGGCAATGCCAAAACCGTGAGGAACGATAATTCCAGCAGGTTCGGGAAATTTGTGGAAATCTTTCTGGAGGAGTAAGTAATGCTGAGCAGCGCCCAAGCATGGTCTGTCCTCCCCGTGTCCTGCTCCCCTGCCCTGGGAGTGCCCAAGCCAACCCCCAGTCCCACTGCCAGACCGCCCCTGCCCCTCGACTCTGGGGTGGGAAGCACACGGGAATGCTTTTGGGGACAAACCTTGGTGGGGGAAAGGTGGTGTCACCTGAAGACAGGCGATGTTTGCAGTCCCTGGGATAGGGGCAGGGATGCTGTGCCCTGGGCTGGCACCCTGCCTGGTCCCCATCCTTGTCCCCACAGCCCGTCCCACCTTCGCTCAGCCCCACTGATCGCAACGAGGGGTGCCCGATTTCTCCCTGGGGTGCAGCAGCTCCAGCCCTCACTCTGGAGCCCAGTGTGGGCACATCTCCCTGCCCACCCATCCCTGGGGGGGGGGGGCACCTGAGGACTGGTACTGACCCCCTTCGTGTGCTGGGGGAGCATCGTGGCATGGGTGGGCACCGGAGGTGGGGCACAGCCCCTGCCACGCTGAGGTTGCCAACCGGGTGCCCGCTCTCACCCCTGCAGCGGCTTGATCTGCGGTGCCATAACCTCACAGTACCTGCTGGAGAAGTCCCGTGTGGTCTTCCAGGTGGGTTGCAAGGGGGTCCCGGGGTCTGCCTCCCAAACCCGCTGCCCTCCCCGGACGCTCCTCCCCCAGCTGGGTCCTCTGCCCCCCAGCCCAAGAGCGAGCGCAACTACCACATCTTCTATGAGATGCTGGCAGGGCTGCCCTCCCACCAGCGGCAGCGGTACTGCCTGCAGGGCGCCGAAACCTACTACTACCTGAACCAGGTAGCGTGTCCCCTGCCTGACCCCCGCCATGCCGCCCGCTTTTTGGGGGACTGGCCAAGCCTGGGGTGCTGGTGGGTTCCTGAGTCCTCTTGGATTCAGCATGTGGATGGGGAGGGTGCTCGGGGCAGGGCGTTCCCCGCTACCCCTGGGTGTCCCCCCCCATCCCTGGGTGTTCCCCCCCGGGACCTGCTGACGGCACTGAGGGGACCACCCCAGGGTGGGAACTGTGAGATCCCCGGCAAGGATGACGCGGAGGATTTCCGTCGGCTGCTCAACACCATGGAGGTGCTGAGCTTCAGCGTGGAGGAGCAGAACAGCATCTTCCGCATCCTCTCCTCTGTCCTCCACCTGGGCAACGTCTATTTTGAAAAATACGAGGTACCCCCAAGGGGAGCCAAGCCACGCTCCTTGCGCCCAATTCAAGATGCGGCGAAGGCGAGGGGGTGTGGTGGTGGTGTCACCGCATCCCACCACCTCATCGTATCCCACAGACTGACTGCCAGGAGGTTGCCACGGTGGTGAGTGCCACGGAGATCCGGACGGTGGCTGAGCTGCTGCAGGTGTCCCCCGAGGGTCTGCAGAAAGCCATCACCTTCAAGGTGACGGTGAGTGCGGGGTGGGGGCACAGGCAGGGAGGGGAGGGGGGTGTCCCTGCTCCCTGGGG